CCTCAAAGGTGTATTTGAGGATTAATGAGATGATGCTTATAATTGCATTTTGAGCTCTTTGGTTGAAAGGCACTTTATAAATAACAGATATTTGTTTTTTTTGTTGCAGTCCATCCACTACTTACAAGTGGCCAAACATTCTAGATGCCCTTTGGGTAGACAACAGCCCCCTTGTTGACTCTGAGAGAGTTCATCTGGGTCAACATCAGGAACAAGACCATAGCTGAGCTTAGAGAGTTTCACCAATTCCTTTTCTTTAGTGTCTTCTATTTGCTTTGAAACTCAAAGTGTTGTTTGGGGAGAGAGACATCGTAAGAACCTCTGAAATGCCCTACTGCTTGAGCCTACTCACATTGATTTTCTCTTGCCTCTGGCTCTAATTCATAATATTCATTCTTTGTTCATTAGACCCATGGTTTCATTTTTTAGTGTCTAACAAAACAATAAAGAAAACTTCTCTTTTATTCTAGGACTCAAAACAAAATGTAAAAAGTACCTCTGGCATTAATTTTGCACAGATGAATGTTGTTACAGTATTCCTATTAGCATGTCCATGTGCTTGACAACATATCAGATGGTATTTATAGGCTACCTGCAAGAAAGCATTTTCTGCCAGCCTGGTGCAAATTGCCAGAACCTTTAAGACACTCTTCCTCAACTTCGCAGCAGTATATCATCATTATCTGTGGCTGGACCAAGAAATCGCATCTGTCAGTGTCTGAATTGCTCTTTTACTTTCAGTGGTTTTAGAAACCCACTTTGTTTTGGAAATGGGGTTAGCTAAGTATATTTTAGAAGACTCAGAAATATAAAAAGCAACAGCTAGGAGATTTGGGGGATATTCAGGATGTTTCATTTTCTATGGCTTGTTGATCTTTGGAAGATAATCTTTGTGGGACAAAATGGAAGATGGCCATGTTTTGAATGGAGTCCTGGTAAAGTTCTGAGGTGTTAGAAGTACACCCTGGAATCTGTGCTTCCCCTAGATCATTAGGAAAGAACTGAATCATATTAATAATAGTTTGCAAAACATGAATGTTTTTCATATCCCAAGTTCTGTATATACCCTACATCTTATTATACTATACTACATCCTACGGTGAATTGGGAAATGGGGAAACTGAGGCCAAGTCACTTGCATGAGATCACACAGCTATTGAATGCTAATGTTAGAACTCAAAGCCAAATTTGTTTCCAAAGCCCATGGTCTTAACTCCTGTGCTGTATTGATTATGGCTTACAGAAAATAAGTGTAATAGCTAATGAATAGGATCTGTGCTTGGACCAATAGATAATGATAATAAAGGTCTCATAAAAGTCACTTTCTGTGCTATACAGAAGTTCTCTCTATCATTCCATTCTTCAATTTAAAAAATATTAATTCCTTTGGGACTGACAACATATTGCAAATTTACTCCTTTGGGACTGCAAAGAGAGACTGATGTATTGGGAAATTGTTGGAGGGTCAACTTGCTTTCTTTGTCTTCCTTACTCTGTTCTCTTTTTTTTTATCCTAAATGGATTTGCTCAAATGTAGAAAACATGAAGTATTTCTGAATGAAGGTTGGAGCTCTGTGTGAACCAGTTGGGCCTTAATAATTTCACCTCAGAGTATTCTGCTCTTCACAATATTATAATTCAACAGTGCATGTTAGATGTGTCTCCCGGAGTTGAAATACTTGATAATAGAACCACTGATACAAATGCAAATGAATGTAGGAGGCCAGTGGCATTAAAAAACTCAATTTCTAATAAAAAAATGCATGGGGACACACACATACACACGCTTTTATTTTAAACAGAATAAAATGTGACTAGTTTTCTTTTTTCTAAAATTTAGTTCTATGTAGGTGAGTGTCAGATCCATATAAGTAATTTAAGAAATGTCTATTTGAAGATCTCATGGTGCAATTTATAGATTTCTCAGTGTGTTTGAGAAGTATGGTCATTACATTTTGGTCTGATTAGTAAGGCACATATGCTTATTTCTAGTGACATGACATTACTATGCATAAGGCCATTCTTTCTTGAGGATATCATTACTTTCTGTTGAAGAATTGATTTCACTCTTTGTTCAAATTTTTATACTTGTTGCTATATGAAATGTACAACTGAATGTCATTAAGGATTTAATGTGAATGTATATGAATTTGACAAGGTTTGCTCAGCTTTCAGGGTAGTCCCTGTGTATGGATTCTTATGTTTAGAAGGTTGTTTACTTTTCAGTCAATCTAGCAAAATGGGGCTTGGGGCAAATGAACTCATTCTCATGCACATGTTTCTAAAACAGTTCTTACTAATGTCTGAGATAAATTAAAATAAAAACCAACAAGAACATGAAAAGAGACTAAGAACAATGTTAATGTGGCAATTTAAACCAATTTGGTTTTCCAAATGACCTTCCATCTTTCACAACTTTTAACAGTATGCCAGATGCTATGAATCTGGTGTGGAAAACTTAAAACTTTTTTCTAAATGTCTTTAAAGCTGAGATGGAGAAGAATGACTCTCTCTCTTTCACTTTCCGATGGGTCTAAGGTTGAATCATGGCTATGCTGTCCTCCCAACATATCACTTATTGATTATCCAACATACTTTTCTCTTTTTCTAGCCTGTACCATGCCTCAAAATGATTTCCTATGGAGCTTTAGGTTTGAAAGAGAGTGTATGGGGAGGGGATGCTTAGGAGGACAAAGAGTCCCTCTGTATTCCAAGGAAGTAAGTCATTGCATCTTCTTATTGAATTAATTTAGTGCATATATAACTCTGGCAGTTGGGAATTTTGGATACTTCTGATTTTGTCTGCATGTTTCTAAGAATATTTAGTTTGATATTTGTTACAGACTTCACTAATCCATTCCACAGTGAGTGGAGTGAAGGTTATGACTATATTTAATGTTGCAACCAACAACAGTTACAGAAAACCCAAAGTAATAGAATATATTTAAGATGAATCTAGCACAACCCATTTGCCATTTTTCAATATAACACTTTGTTGTAACTAAAACTTGAGAGGGGTCAAAGCTTATGAAGATGGATGATATCCCTTGTGTTATCTGTCTTCTTTAGGGTAGGATTAAGAGTACGAGATATAGGTTCTTCTCAGAAAAGTGCATGCTCCTTTTCTATGAAGACATGTGAGAGTTTACCCAACTTTATTTTTGATTAATAGAGTTCTGAATCCCCAAATCTACCAGGGAGGATCATTATAATAATCTCTAATTGGTAACTGTATTAAAAGATAAAATTAATTTCTTTCACCATGAGCTTATGGAAACACCAAGAAGTTGCCTTTCTGTTTTTTTTTTCTCCTTACCTACACCTTCTCCCCCCAACTTTTTTCTATGAGAAATAATATTCCATTCATTGTAATTTATTCTTTGATATGCTAATATATTATGTTTTATCCCAGCCACATAAGATCCCATGATGTAGGCTGGAAACATACCCATTGTTGTCTCTTTCACGAGCTTTGTTTTTGTTGTTCATGTTTTTGTTATTAGTTTTTTTATTCCTTGGGAATGAGAATGAGTCAGCTTCTTAAGATCATTTGTTCATAGCAGAAATGAATGGGGAATCTTGGAAACATCTCCCAGCATGGCCAGCCCTTTCCCATGTTGCACCTCATGGAAAGCAGGTACCAGGTTAGTCACATGTCAATAATAACTTCTATAGGAAGGTGGCCCTAAGATTGAAGTGCCACGGTCACGTTCTACTCACTTGGTCTGATGCTATATTTAATCCTCATGTTCTTTCTGGCTTTTAGACTTCTTTGTAGATGATTTCCAAGACACCTTTTTTTAAGATTTTGATTTCATTTTTAATGTTGGCAGTTTGGAATGGGATTCCCTAAGTTCCGATATAGGGCTACGAGTGAAAAGTCATGAATTAGAATTCACTAGTTTTTGATCACTGTGAGGTTGGTTGATGAGATAGAACAGTTCCCAAAGCGTGGCTTCATTATTTTGTGATTTGAAGCATATTCATTAGGGGTATATCTCCACAATACTGCTCTCCAAATCTGTCCTAATTAGACAAACCATCCAGGGGTGGGAACAACAGTTACAAAAGGAATAAGGGGGCATAGTAGCAGTTAAAAGCGTTATGTTTGAGGTTTGAAACTAATTAGGTATTTCATGCTTGGAGGAAGTATCCCAAACAGGCTTTATGAATAGATACTTGTTCAGAAAGGACCTCTTATAGAAAGTTAAGAGAGAGAGACTAGATAAACCTATAAAGCTTGCATTTATTAGTAGTAATAAAATGTAGGTGCTTAAAAGTCTGCCAATACTCTATACCTATATTTATAGCTGCTTTGATTTACAAATATTTACTTTGTGTTTTCTTTTTTAAAATGTAGAACAAGTCTGGGCAGAGAAATAGAAATGTAAAGAACCATCTATAATACTCCATCTATTTAACATACCTGGTAGGATGCCAGGGTCTCCTTTATGGAGTAAGAAGTCTCCCTTGGCCATTCAAGGCTTAAATGGTCTTTCCCTCCACCAGAAGGTAGAGCAGTTATAAACACTGAGAGGAGAATAAGGAAGTACGTGACCCCATGCTTCTGATAAGGTCTAGTACCTTGAGAGCAGATCATGCGTGACTAAGACACTGGGGGTCCCCTACCACAGATGAAGCTGGTCTGGCAGGCAAATTACTCACAAACCAAGAAAATCCTTGTGCTTCCATTGACCCAATCATGATGTGGTTGGGGTGAGATGGAGAATAGTGAAGGTAAACCCATTTCTATAAATAGCCAAAGCTCTAATTCCCATCCCATGCCACATTTCCAAAACATGATGGAGCACTGCATAGCTAAGAGTCTCCTGACCTCAACCCTGTCAACCAAGGGCAGAGTGACTTCAACTCCACCTCTACTAAAGATAAATTGATATCTATCTCTAAAAACTTCATAAACAAACCAAAAACCTAGGATGTTTTTTAATGACGTATTGACTTTTCAGATTGTTTTTTAAGCTGTTTTTTAAACTTTAAAGGCAACACTGATAATGAACGCTTCCAAATGGTAAAACAGAAAATCCCCTTCAAATATAACCGGCCCGTAGAGGAGTGGCTGCAGGAAAAAGGTAACCGTCGTTAAAACTTTCATTTTAAAATCATTTGATTCTAAACCCTCATTTTTAAAGCCTGCAAATAAATGTTCCTTAAATGATAATCGCCTGCTGCATAAATGACTGTTTTAATTTTCATTATAATTTGTGTCAGCTTCCACCTGCCATATGTTGATAAATCATGCTATAATACATTGCCATTAAAATACAGTTAAAGGGACTAACATCTAGCTTGCTATCAGCGTGACAACCACAAACAAGAAATTCCAGGAACCTCTAAAAAAAGAAATGTATTATGGCAATTTAACCACTGCATGACATTATTTGTTAATTTGTTTTAAATTACCTCTTATACCAAAGCTTTCTAAAGAAATTTCAAAAGTACTCTTTAAACTTACATCTTGAGGCTGTTTTGGCTTTACTCTCCAGCGTGGATAACTAAAAAAATCAGCAGATCTACTCTTGTAACTTAAACTGCTTAAGACAAATGTTATAAGGGGAGCAGTGTTTTCTAACATTTGTTTTTAAATGAAGAAAGAATGAGAAAGATGAATTTTGCCTTTAGATTCAAACTTAACAGAGGCAAAAGTGTTTCATAAGAGGTTAATTGTGTCCTAGTTGTTTGCTGAAACTAAAAAAAAAAAAAAAAGAAAGAAAAGAAAAGCTTTTTTTACACTTTGGTTGTGTAATACCCTTATGTGTTTGATATTTATGCAACAAAAGTGCAAGTGGCTAAGACAATGAGTTGGAAAAGAAAGGCTCATGAAAGGCAAAACAGCAGTTGTGATTTGCTGTAGAAAACAACCACTTTGTTAATAAAAGAGGGCAGCGGTTATACCTGATGTTAGAATTTTCTGTGTGGCTTCTGTTTGCTAGGATATAAACTATTATCTTTCAATGAAGAAAATTCTCTGTTTCCGGAAGCTATGTAGTCCCTTCTTTCCTGAGCCAGTACAAGCTACTCTTGTCTCAAGACCTTCAGTGAGTCCTTAAAATTCGTAGAGATTTGATTGAGTGATACATAAAAAGCAATTGAATATATTAATATGCAACTTAAGCAAACTTAATTACAGTTTTAAGTTGGGTGACAACATTTAGACCCTTAAACACGGAAAATCCTCACTGAGTCTTAACTGTTTGCCCTGTTTTTAACGTATGTGGTCTAATTAAAAATAAATTAAGAATAACTCTAAAAAGCAAATAATTTTGGTTAGTAATCACCAGCTCATAAAGTCCCTTTAACACTAAAGACTATGATTGCCTCACTTTTTAAAAAGGAGAAGAAAACTAGATATGCATGTCTGAGTCTCATGTGCCTGAGAGAACTTTTTTTTCTTTCAATTTTATGTTAATAATATTTTCTTTTACTCCATCGCCTTTTGAACTCTAAGTTTAAGAGCATGCCAGGCGTTTTCATTTGTATAAACCATTATAAAGTTATGAATAGGCTTTTAGTTTTCCTTCTGATAGCATTGTTATCAGTTGGCTTTCATATAGAAGGACGAAAGGCCAACAAATCCGAGGGGGCAGGGTGGGTCACGTGGGATGGAGGGCGGCTTTCTAGTTTCTTAACCAAATATGTATGTATTTATATATGCATATAATATTGAAAATGGTTGTTTGCAAACTTGGAGGTTTTCTCTTCTACACCATTTTAACTGAAATTACTTTTTTTAATGCTTTGGGTGAGTAACATCTATTCATTCTATTGCTTTACCCCTTCCTCTGTCTAGCTAACCTTTCCTTCAAAAGGAGTCGAAAATATATACCAAAAGACCTTGTAAAGACAACGAGTTAAAAAAGGGTAAAGATGGAAGGATGAATAGGCAGACGTATCAGGAAGCACTTGGAATGCCTCTTTGGAGTTATTTTTGTCATTGGAGAAGAGATCTGGGTCACAGCATTCCTGAGTCTGTTTTCTGGCTCTGTCTACTATTGACTGATACTTTCTGACCTTAGACAATCCACTTAACCTCTTTATATCTCAGATTTCCCATCTGGGGAGAGGAGAAATAATACTGCCTATTCCCCAAGGGTGTTCTGAGGTTTAATTAATTAGTCTTTGTGCAACACTGACTGGAGACGTGCAAAGATTTAATTTAAGCAGTATGTGAACTTGATATCCAAATGAGGTAACAATAATGACTTCCAAGAAGATGGGCACCCAAAACAAAGCAGAGAGTAACCTGCTACAAACCCTGTGCTAGTATAACCAAATTTAGTATTATGGATGATAGAACAATTCTTAGATTAGGATATAGATATAGATATCATAGTTACTTATTATAAAAAAATTATCATAATGAATGACAATAATGAGGTCTGATATTGATTTTGAGAAATCTGGGGCAAATGATAAAACTTACCCCAGTCTGCCCCTTATAATAACCCTTCAGAGGGAGAGGCCAGTTTTCAGTTACTCACTTACCCCTGCTTGGCTGAGAGAGGTAAATTGATCACAGGAAGAGCTGACAGGAGACTCAGTTTCCCACTCTTACTTTAGTGACTGCCCGCTTTACTCTTAACTACCCAATCCAAGGTACAAAGGGCTAGGAAAGGATCCGGAAACAGCAAACAAAACAAAACAAAAACAAAACAGATCTAGCTAGACATAGACTATGAATCAGACAAGCAAACAAAAACCCACACACTTCCTACGCGACATGACGGAGAACTGAAGGATAGACCACCTCCTTCCCTATTTCACTCCACCAGTGTCTTGTTCTCAAGAAACCATTAGATCTCTCTGAGAATGCAGCAATAACAGGACATGGAGCAGTGGCTTCATCCTGTGGCCCAGGAAACATGTCTTGCCCTTCTCCATGCTTGGGTTAGTTTCAAACAAAGACCCTTTTATGCAGTACACTCTGGCAACTGGAATGAAGGAGATCCAACGTTTCTAGCCATTGTAATTCAACTTTGCATTTCAATTCTCCCTGACCCTCTTTATTTGTAATAACTGGCAGAATAATATCACTAGGAAAATAAGGTAAGGACCATTACAGATGTGAAGTACTTTCAGAAATACTAGAAATATAAAATTTCTTACCTATAACTAGCTATCCCTATTCATTGATCATCAGTGCTAGAGCATATTCAAAAAAGGAGATGAATAAATATTATGGTTGGCCAACAGTTATGTGAATGGAAGGGATAGCTTGACATTGGGGCTCTCTAGTGTAAGCTACTGAATTGAGTTCTAGAGATCTCCTTTTAGGCAGCTCCTTCTTTATCATGTTAAGCTGCCCACAAATGTCTATGCAAGGTTGAGGGTGTATTATTCTCCCCTTCTATCATGACATTTCTTTTGCAGTAAGCTTAGCCCCCCTAGAAAAAGCTGTTGTCAAAGAAATAACAGTAAAGAGAGTTGAGCTCCAGGCCATTATCCAGTTTTATTGTGCACTGAACATTTTGCTGCATCTTATGTGAGAAATGAGAGGCCAAAGGACAGGCGATGATGCATGTGCACTAGGCACTGAAGGAATTGGTGGGAAAATAATGGAAACCTATTAGATCTATTTTGATTGTTCCTTTAGGATCTGGACAATTCTGTTATCAAATCCAACAGATAACATTTCCATGCTCCAAATATTTTTATAGAGTGCAGATCATTTTCACTATAACAAAATTCTTTGGCCAATTCTCCATACTGCAGTATTTGAAGCTTCCAAAAAGGTATTATTCATAAATCATTCTTAACTAATATGCCCTTAAGAGTTACCCCATGAGCCATGGGCAGAACTGACTCTTGTATAAAGAGTTCCTTCTGAGCAGATACATTTTCCCTTCTCTGACGCTTCCATTTCATCCCTTATTATACATTCAGAAGGCATTCCACATTATACACTAGAAATTCAAGGATAGCTAATCATCGTGGAGATTTAAAGACCGTGTAATAGTGGTAGAGGTTAAAAGCCCAAAGATCACAGTATGCCTCTATTCATATCAGAGATGGTGGGGGAAAAACCTAGTCTTTTAAAAATAGACTCCCTTTTAATAAGCAGGCAGGAATAACAGAACATTCCAGCCATTTATAGCTAAAATAATGCAAGTGATTAGATTAAGAATGAGTGGAATATTGTTTGATTCCTGACTTAAGAAAAACTCAAAAAGGATATATTTAATTCCATTAATAAGTCTCTCCCCCTTCTCCATATGGAAAAGCAGAAGGAAATAATCTGAAGAAATAATAGCATAGAATTGCTTAGCCTTAAAAAGCTGTTTGTATTTTTCTGGGAAAGATCTAGCATTTAAGAGAGGCTTTTTTAAGTAGAGGTAGTTGGGAAGAAGATCAGTTGAGTTGCACTATTCTCAACTCTATTCTGTCATGATTTCATTCTGATAGTTTTCTATTCACAGAAAACAAATATGGTTCCCCAAATGGGACTCCAAATAAGTTGAAGTACTGATAGTCTTCAACACATGAACATGCCTATCGTTTTAAGGAATTTTATGTGTTGCTTTTTTCCTGAATACCCATCCCCTTTTTTTTAAATTCATTGATTTGGAATGGCATTTTTTTTCTTTCCCCCACCCCTGAAACATTATCAATGCCTGTTTATTTCCCATGTTTTAGGGAGAGATATAGTTGTGTTACCATAATCCCGTTCCTCCCCCAAATTAAAAGAGGTAGGAAATTATCTGTCATGATGTTTATTAAACAGCAAGTATAGATAGAATAGTATGTATTATGAAGATTTCTAGGAAATGAGGTGTTTTGTGAGTAAACTTCATTTCTATAAGTATGCAATGAATCCAAGTCTTTTAATTGGAATTTCATTTCATTTCAATTAATTTATCAATTTTTTTTTAATTCAGTGTTCTGAGTCACCTCACTGAGTTTTTGTTTGACATTTATAATCCTATTTAGTTGCCCTTATATGACTTTGTAGTTAAAAATTAGTGCGATAGGTATTTATGCTTTATTACTGTCATCACTTGATTTGGGGATTACTTTCTGTCATCCACAACTACATACCCAAGAAGACCACAATACTGCAAATCTTTGAACCAAGATTTCTCTTTCCTCATAATAATGAAATAGAGACTGAATTATTCAGCTTATCTAGGATATTCAGCTAGACAGTGGAAGAGATAAACATAGTGAAATGTTACTTGCTAATGTCCATTGAATTTTTGTTATCCAGTTTTCTCCCCTTCATTTGTTCACGGAAGCCTGTTTTGATGCCTGGTCCATTGAGACCAGGCAAGGCAAAGAGAGATAACATATGGGAATAATAATGTTTCCTCCACCCAACCCACTAGGCCGGCAGTTAACCATCTTCAACACCCAGGCGCAAATAGCCATCGGTGGAAAAGACAAAGGACGTCTCTTCCAAGGCCAGCTCTCTGGGCTCTATTATGATGGTTTGAAAGTACTGAACATGGCAGCTGAGAACAACCCCAATATTAAAATCAATGGAAGTGTCCGGCTGGTGGGAGAAGTCCCGTCAATCTTGGGAACAACACAGACAACCTCCATGCCACCAGAAATGTCTACCACTGTCATGGAAACCACCACTACAATGGCTACTACCACAACCCGCAAAAATCGCTCTACAGCAAGCATTCAGGTAATCCTTTCTCCAATTCTTAATTGATTCTGTTTTTTTGTTTTTTTTTTGTCTTTGAGACATTACTATAAGGTCAGTGTTGCTATGTTGCTAAAGAGTCTGAATTACTATGTTTGTAGAAAGGATGCCTACAGATGCTCATAGTAATAAGATCTAGGAGTAGAGAGAAACAAATTCATTGCTAAAGAAGTTATAAAAGTTTTGCGTGCACTCATGGGTTATTATTCCTATCATATTTATTGCTGAAACAGTAAAGCTGTTATTCCAAATGAGCAATGGCTAACACTTTCAGTATGAAATACTCCTCCTTTCATTTCATTACTTTTCTTTTCAATAAAAAAAGGGAAAATGGGCAAAGGAAAATTTGTTATCATAGGGGAAACTGTATCCTAGTTCAGTTCTATTCACATCCTCTCGGTGGCTTTGCTGAAACATGAATTGTTCAGTTTTGAGGCCAGTGGATAGCATTAAATAAAGGGCAACTGAAGCTAGAGTTTCAACTAATGCTTATAAAATGCAGTCTTTGTTTTGTTATTAAGTGTTGATCAATCACTTGTTATTTTTTATCCATTTTGTTTATATTTGACCAAGATCCTATATTACATTAGAAATTGTGAAGGTCTGAGTTTAGCTATATAGGAAGTACTTAGTTTTGTGGTAATGGTTTTATTTTTTCACTTAAAAGTAATTATACCCAAGCTAAAGTTTAATGCTTTGCTGATTCCCTTGGCATTTCATAAATCTAGTTAGTAGGGGATAGGAGGTTAATCGAGTTATTAGCCTCAAATGCTGTGGCATAAAATAAGACATTCCAATTGCTTGTGGGGAAATTACTCCGAGCCTAGTTAGCGTTTATAGAAGATTCAGTAGATCAGGACTTGTCCTTTCTGTTTCTTAGTTTTAAGACATTATCTGGGGCATCAATCGAGTCTTTGACATCACCCTCCCATTGATTTTGGTGGGCATTGTAAACGTAGAGTCAATAATCGATTAAGCCCCCTAGGTGTTCTCATTCTTCTGAACTAAGTTTATGTGAGTTAAGTAGAGGTAAAAGTGTTGTCTTCCTTTTCCCTTTTCTTTGAGCAGAAATACCCAGACAGCTCCTTACATGATTCCACAGGAACAATTTGAGGCTGTATACACTGATGATGTTATCAGGCCAATTTTATGTGTTTTAGAAGCGCTACTAAGAACCGGGTTAGCATAACAGTTGTATAGTTGTGTGTGCCGTTACGTGTATACCTATGTACACTCTCAAAAAAGAAATAGCTTCTTCTCTGCTGATATTAAACCAATAACTCCTGACACTTCACTCTACTCACTGAAAAGAAGATAAAAGGCAATATATATTTCTATTATGACTCTCTCTAGCTCAAGAGCAGATCTGTTTATGGTTGGTGAAAGGATAGTTCTGTCTGCCCAGGTCCTGGCAGACTTGTTCTGTTTCTGTCATAATACATTCCGTTAACTCTGTGGGAAACAGAGGAGCAAATGGTTTTTTCTTCATATGAGTGGCTGTCGTGTAATCTTTTTCAAGGCCAAATTTTTACTGACCTTGGGAGGACTTAATGTTACGTAGGGATTCAGGGACTAAGCCATGGTAATTACCGGTTTTTGGCTTTTCCTCCTGCAGCAAACACACAGAGAGGAGGACACTGGGTGAGTCTTTCCAAAAACGAAGAAAGCCAGAACTTCCAAAGAAGAGTAGGGTACAAGGCACAAAAGTCTTGCAAGTGATGATGACTCTGAACACCATAGAATCTGTTGTCATTTTGGAAAGATGTGGACAGCTGGAGCATGCCCTCTCTAACAGCCTCCCATGAGGGTTTCTTTTCCTGACTCCAGTGATAATGGGATTTGATCTACATATCTTTCCTTTTGCTTCTACCATGGCTATAAAGGGGAGTTATAAATCTGATGACCTTCTTGTTCTTAAGGGTATGTAAATGCAAACTCTTAGAGAAAAGACAGCAGACTAGCAGAATTGGATTGGACTGGGATGAGGGATCAAAGAGGTCCATATTCTTTGTAAAGATTAGCTAGAGGAAATAATTTGATGCCAAGGATTTTGGATTTTTTTGTTCTTGCCAACTAGCCATAAGAACTTTGCCCTGACACGTATTGTGATGGGCACTGGGTGTTCTGTGTAAGTGATGAATCACTAAATTCTACTCCTGAAATGAATATTACACTGTATGCTAACTAACTGGAACCTAAATAAAAACTTGAAACTACAAAAAAAAAAAAGAAAAAGAACTTTGCCCTCTGCTCCATAAAAATTCAGTAGCCTGCCTTGTCTCCAACCCTTTTCTGATCTCAAGTACAGATTACATCAAGCCTCTGTTAGGACTGGGGACCCAAGATTTAGGACAATTCCCAGCCTCTGAGGACTTAGGGTGAGGAAGGTCAGTCTCAGAAGTTCTCATATGTCCTGTGTGATCCAGCTAATTTTCTAGGGTGAAGTGGACTGATAAAAATTTGATCTGTGGGAGAAAAAAGAACTGAGGAAGTCTGGATTTCATGTTTACCAGGCCAGTCATGTGTGAAATCTTACAGCTTTTTCCAGATGATACTCTGTTCTGTCTTCCTTCGCTTTGATAGCCTTGATAGACCAGGGTTGTCCTAAAATTAGACTCTTCCAGGAGAAATAAAATAAGCATAAAAACCTGGTCTAAAACCATCTGATTATATGATAATCTACTGGTTCCTTCTCGAAGCATAAGCTAAAGAAACATTTGAGTATTTCGTTTCTGATTGACTTTGGTTTGTGTTGATTTCAGAGCAAAGTAAAACTGCAAAGTGCTTTCAGTGCTGCTCTTACCTGTGTATGAACATAAACTAATAGTTTTTGAGTTGACATGGCCCTTCAGTGCTCTAGCCTCCTAGAAGTAATCACTACTTTGATCTTTCTGATACTCCAGTTTGTTACAGTATTGCTTGTGGATCACATGGACTGTGTTAAATCACTCACATCTAGGGTGCCCAAGCATCAGGTCTTTACCCTATATTAAGAAGAGTGTATCTAAGGGCGCCTGGGTGGCTCAGTCATTTAAGCAGCCAACTCTTGGTTTCAGCTCATGTCATGATCTCAGGGTCCTGAGATTGAGCCCCTCATTGGGCTCCCCTCTTAGTGGGGAGTCTGCTTCCCCTCTTTCCTCTCCCTCTGCCCCCCCATTTGTGCATGCTCTCTCTCTAAAATAAATAAATCTTAAAAAAAAAAAAGTGTGTCTAGGTCCTCCCCTGAATATTAGAAAAAAACCACAAGAGTTAAGATTGAGAAAGCAGGTGGGTGCATTGAGAAGATAGGTGAGTACATTGAGAAAGCAGGTGGGTGAGTGATAGTATTCAAGTAAAGACAGGTGCTCAATAAATATTTACTGAATAGATTGGAAAACAAAATAGGCTTTATGACATACCTTATCATCATTTAACAACCAGAAGTGGCATGGCTTACAGATAGCTTTTCCTCCAGAATGATCAGTGTGCTTCGGACGATTTTAATTTTTCCTTGGTGGTAAGGCTAGAGCAGTGATTAAATGCATGTGCTTGGAGTCGGGCTGCCTGGGTTTAAAACCTAGATCTTCACATCAGCTAAGTGACTCTGAGCAAGTCCTGTATGTTCTAGTTAACTATTGTTATGAAACAAATTTTCCCATAACTTAGTGGCTTCAAATAGCAACTGTGTCATTGGATCTCACAATTTTGTGGCTCAGAAATTTGGGCAGGGCTCAGCAAGACGATTCTTCTGCCCCACAGGGCATTGACTGAAATCACTCAGTGGCTCCTCTGGTCTGGAGAGTCTGGCTTCACTCACACACCTTGTGTCTTGGTGCGTTAACTAGAAACACTGGACTCAGCTGGGTCCATGTCCCTCTCTGTAGTTTCTAGTTCATGGAGGTTCAGGGCTCCTAGTGAAAGTTTTTCCAGGTTTCGAAGTTTAAGGGAAAGGAAACATAAACCTCACTTCATGATGGGAGGATAGCAAGAATTTGTAACTAACCTAAGTCTACCACTTTATAAAATTGGAGGGAAGGGTACTACTAGGGTGCTGCTTATATCATGGGATTGCTGTGAGGTTAACTGAGTTAATATATGTAAAATGCTTAAAACAGGTCCATCTTGAAGAGTAAGATAGATATGTTTTAACCTTATTATTTTATTCTATCCCCAACATTTGGTATGCAAGTCAGTACCCTCTCAAGCAGGGAGAAAATGGGGCTATTTCTACTGACAGTAGTATCTGTAGTTCATAGTGGGGGCTGGGAAGTTTGGTGGGGATAGGGATTTGAAGGAGCGTCAGGGTAGAATTTGGAGGTTGGAATCAGTCCTGGCAGATGAAAAGTTTCTAAGTTCTCAGGAATCGATTCTCTGATAGCTTACTTCCCATCTTTAATTTTTTCTTCCATTTTAAACCAACCTGGAGTTCTATGGGCCTCAGAGAATATGTTTTGTTATGAAATATATCTATCCACATGTCTTTAAGGTTACAAAGAAAAAGAATCCAGGATCCTTGCCATCATGGAGCTTGACATTAGCAATCAATATGAGGTAGTGACCTGCAAATGGTGGTGGTGTGGAGGGAAATGAGGGAGTTGTATGGGAGGGCTTGGCTGGATCTCATGAATGAAGTGGGAATGGAACTGGGCCTTGTAGAATGAGTATAATTTGATACATGGGGAAGAGAGACAAATCTCAGGTTGGCTAAATGTCAGAAGCGATGTTTTCAAAGTCAGGGATGATAATTCCCGAGAGAGATAGCCAAGTCCAACTAAAACAAAGAGTGCATAGGGGAGATCTGAGCAGCAAGAGATCCAGATTCTCAGCGTCTTGGTCCCAAACTCCTCCAAATAGGAGAGGACCCAGAGAGGAGAACTGCATTGGATTCCCTGTGCATCTTACTACCAGGGATTGCCCAGCAATTAAACAAGCAGTTCTATTACAACTGACCTCAGTGTCGGGATTACTATCATGATGGACAAGTTCAACTAAGTCTATGTTCAAAATCCTTGATCCCCATTTAGGAGAGAAGGCAAAAGTAAGAAGTAAAAGTCTTTGGTAACTTGCAGCCACCAGTACCAGTACCAAAATGTTCCTGTGAGGCAGGAAAGGGCCAAGAGGAAAATAGTTTCCAAAATAATGTGTATTCTCTTACCTTAAGCCTCCAGACCGAGTCGTTATCAGTAAAGAAAGAACTCAGCATGTTCTGTGCAAATCGCCATTTGGAATCCTCTATAAGCTATTAGTAGGATACTGATCATGACCCACTTTTTCTGTGCTCGGCATTGGTGGAGTCACTTTGACATTGGTCAGAGCTGCCTGTTACCAGAAAATCACAATGCTCAGCTGGATTGGAACTATCCTGATAAACAGTAGAAATGAAAGACTTGAGAGTTTTGTGAGATTTCATTCTTACCTCAAACTCATAAATTTGAACCACTTCCCAAAATTCCAAAAGCAAGCCACTTATTCAGGCTTTGTAACTGTACCTATGTGGAAATTCCTCCTTCTGGTCGGCTTTCAGTTTTAGACTAGGGCTAGTAAAAAACACACTTCAGCCTTGATATTGATTACTACAAAACAAAACAAAACAAAACAAAGAAAAGTACTTGTGATTAAAAACGTGATCCTTCATACAGCGTAATCCACATAGAGTTCCAGTATGTGGGAGGGAAGAGGGTGTAATCTCGAGTCAGAATTCCTGTGCTGGACTCCAGGTTCTTCCAGTTAGCTGTGTATCTCTGGGCAGGTCAATTAGCCTCCCCAAGCCTTGGTTTCATTCTCTGTAAAATGAAGTACTTTTCCATGGTTGTGAGTAATAAATACAACCATGTTGGTAAAAAGAACCTAAGCCATGACCTACGCTGTAAGTTTTCACTAAATCCTAGACACTAGGAAACCACTTCAAACCGAGAGGCTCTCCCAGAACTCACGGATTCTCATAAAGCTTAGACTTCCGGTGTGATTGGAAAAGCATGTTAACCTTAAAAGTAAAACTGTCCATTATTTTACGAGCAAACGTGGGTTAATTTAGGAATAACAGAATTACAACTTGGGAGCAAGCTACAGCAATACCATAGGCAAGTCTGGAAAACAAAGGAGAGGACAGCTCTTTTATAGAGGAAAGGGGGGAGTTGGGAAGGGTGTTATAAACAGTAAGTATGTGGAAGTAAACTGTGGTGGCTTTTTGTTGGCTGAGTTTGGCAGTCTGTCATTGACTGAGCTGTTGCCAGGGAAAGGAGAAAGCCTTTCTCCCTCCTGCTGGGAAAGTAAAGTAGTGCTATAGTAGGTATCAACTTGCAAGGTCCCTCTCTTCCTGTTGGCTCTGCAAGCTTTGCGCAGTGGCAGTATCGTAGCCAATGAGGTTTATCTGAGGTGTGATTATTGCTAATTAAAAACTTTTCCCTGTTGGCTCTGGAATTGACTAAGAGCAGCAGGACATTGTCTCCCAGTTCCATTTTAAACAAAGTTTCCCTTTTTAATTTTCCCAAGCACAGGAAGAACCATTTTGAATATACCCACACAACCCCATAATCACCCAGGATTTCTTCTGAAGGTCCCAGATTGATCCAGAGCCCTGAACTCATCAATTAAAAGAGATTTCTGTGGGAAACTCTTTCATTTTCTGAACTGGGATTTGGCTTTGCTGAATAGTTATTACATACAGAGCATTCTGTTAGGGTCAAGTGTATGAAATTGCCATTTTTATAGATCAAAATGATCAAATATCAGGAATTTCATATGGTTCAACAAAACACATGACCCACACATTTACAACATATTGTTATCAATGGCTTTTTGGGACTGGCTAGAGCACCAAATTTTCTCAAGTTTCTTTGAATAATCAAACTGTCTTGGATTGGGATATAAGACAAACCTATCTACCTCATCCCCAAAACCATGCTTTAACAAGAGGTCGATCATGTTTTATCAAGAATGGTTGTACTTACTCAAGGAATTATCTCCCCTGGGCCCCTCCATCTATTCCTTGCTGCCACCAGCCTGACAAAAGTGAGACAAGGAATCCACACAGTTTCCAAGCCCTCACTTTTACCACTAGACAACAGAGCCTCTAGGGGAAGTTTATTTTTAGGATCAGGGCTCAACTAATATTGATTAACAGCCTTACATAATGTGCGGCTCCAGGGCTGGTTCCTTTCCTGCCAAGCCTTATAACTGGGGAAGGCACTGAAGATTTGTCAGTCTAATTAGACTTTAGCTGCCAGCCAAGAAATATCTTCTGTCTCCTCCTTACCCTCATTCAGGTACTTTCTTTTCCCCTCTCAGAGAATAATTTGGAGGGAAGGAAATTGGACTCTGATTTTCTCGTTAGCTGGTAAGACTCCAGTGACACTTTCTCTCAGGAATTACATCGTTTTCGTGGGGGAAAAAAAAAAAGAGAAAGAGAGAGGGAGAGCTTGATGGGTCTACCTACCTCTTAAAGACCTCTATGTTGGTAGTACAAATAGGCCAGGGAAGAGAATATAGCGTCATTTCTTTTGGTCCCTTCTTTAATACTTTAATTTTAGTGGATGGGATCAGGACTTCCCAAAGCTGTGATTAGTCCCTTAAAGGCTCCTCTGAGAAGTTTCTTATCTGCAAATGAAGATGAAGTCTTCAGATTGCTACAAGTTGTAGAGATGCCCTTCTAATTAGATTGTTATATTTATAGGATAGAGTGTCCACCGGAACTATTGCTAAAGTGCTGGAACTTATTTTGAGCCATCTGAACAGCTGGGAGGGAAGTGGGGTTCAGCTCTTGGCTACTCACTGTGGAGGTCCCCACATGTTTCTAATGCTCCAGGTGGTTCTACCAATCACCCGACCTACTCCTTGGCCAAGTCTGAAGCCTAAATCCTTACTGTGTGATGTATGGATCTCCTCCTTGCTCTCGCTCTCTGGCCATATTTTCTGCCACACTGCTCTAGGTACACAGGTCTTCTTGATCTTCCTTGAACTTAGGTCCCAGATAAAGGAGAGGCGAGTAAGTATTGCTCAGTTGCAGAATTGGATCCTGTCTGTATTTAAAATGTTAGTTTGCTTATCATGGAATATTTTTGCATTGATATTGACTCTAAAATATTGTGATAAAATATTATGTATCTTGAATAAATGATTTTGGGGACACTCCCTTAAATATTGTACCTCAGATGAGTGCCTCATTAGTGCCAGCCCTGCTTCAACATACCACGCCCATCTATCTGTGTCTTTTCACTGGCCATTTTCCCCTGTGCTGGAAGCAGCTCTTCCCAGCCATTTGCAGGACTCACTCCCTTACATCATCCAAGTTTCTGCCCATGTGGCACCTTATAGAGAAGACCTCCTTGACCATCCTCTGTAAAATAACACTCTCTGCCACCCCCACCTTGTTGTCTGCCTTGGCAGCTATCTCTACCTTACATTAGATCACATATTTAACTGTTTATTGCCTCCACTTAGTGGTTTGTGAGTTCCCTGATGGCAGGATCTTTGTCTCAGGCACTATCAGAGCTCTGCAGCACAGAGTAAGTCCTCAGTCAGTATTGGTCAAAACATACAAATCTACTGGCACCTTCTCAGGGACTACACACTTAATACTTACAGTCTGAATCTTACTACCAAGCACCTTGTCCCCCACAAGCCCACTCACTCCCTGATGAGGTTCACCAGTGCCAATGGTCACCAACAGTGGTTTTGCTGACCTTTTTTGCCTTAATTATAGAGTCCCGGGGGCATTTGCATGGCATAGTCAGTTAAGCGTCCGACTCTTGTTTTCAGATCAGGTCATGATCTCAGAGTTGTGAGACTGAGCCACTTGTCAAGCTCCACACTGGGTGTGGAACCTACTTAAGATTCTCCCTCTCCCTTTCCCTCTGCCCCTCCCCCACCTCAAAAAAAAAAAAAAGAATAAAGAGTCCCAGAAACAACCCCTTGTGTCCGGTGGGCAAGTGTGTCCTTATTCACTTCTGGTCTTAAATTCTCTTTCCTTAGGGTTTATTTGTCATCCTAATAACGAGGGCTGCTTCTAGCACTGAGAGTTTTCAGGACACTTTTGGAAATGTAATATCACCCACTTTCCCTCTCCAATTTCTTCTCCCTGTTCCTTTTCCAAATTACTTAATTCTTAATTCTCCTAAAACCTATCTTTAAATATAGGCAAATAAAGATTATTTTTAATGACCCACTGCTTCTATTCATTGAAATGGATAGAAAATTAACTTGAGGCTCATTTCCCTGGTCGTATGTGTGTGGATAGGTTGGTGGGAATCTTCTGTCTACTTTGTTACCTCTTTTGTTTTTGTCTCATGACTGAATATGTTATATGAACCCATTTATTCCTGGTCATGACCCTATGCTTCAGTTGGCTCCATAGTTACCTGTCTTCATAATCTTTTGAAAGAACGTTGATGGAAGATACTTTGAGAAACCACCACTCTGACAGCAAGAATGATCTCTGTGCAGTTCATCACTCGACAGTGAGGGCCTGGCCTGGTGCCTGCCACAAAGAGGGGCTCAGTAATATTTGTTGAAGAAAAGAAAAATGTGTTAAATGAATGAATGTTTATCTGTCGAGGAAGGAGGCAGAGAATGGGGACAATATGATTCATGTTCAAGGTAGACAAAGACAGCTGTGAGGAAGCAGAATGGTAGGAAGGAAAGAGTGCATTGAGGTGGGCATTAGGAGACTTCATTCATGGATAAAAAGTGATTAAAACCAAGACTCTAGGCAGACCTTCATTTACCAGCTATGAGATTTCAACTGTGTTTCTTTACAGAGCTTATTTTCATCATTTGATATACGGAGATTATAACACTAACTTCATGGGTGGGTTAAGATAATAGAGTCAAGGGCTTAAATTGGTGTGACTTAATAAAAGGTTGTTGATGTTGCTTTAATTGAGATTCTAATCCAGCACTCCTTAGCATCTACATTTTATTTTTTCTCCTGTTACTAATGAACCATTTGGCCTAGGACATGGCCATTAGCGCCCTTAGGTCTCCACTCTTTCCTTGTCTAACAAGTGTAGTGGGTAGATTCACATTTTTTCAAAAAATTATATTCTATTATGTTAGTCACTATACAATACATCATTAGTTTTTGATGTAGGGTTCCACAATTCATTGTTTCCGTATAACACCCAGTGCTCCATGCAGTACGTGCCCTCCTTAATACCCATCACTGAGCTAACACATCTCCTCACCCCCCTCCCCTCTAAAACCCTCAGTTTGTTTCTCAGAATCCATAGTCTCTCATGGTTCATCTCTCCCTCCAATTTCCCCCCTTCATTTTTCCCTTCCTTCTCCTAATGTCCTCCATGGTATTCCTTATGTTCCACAAATAAGGGAAACCATACGATAATTGACTTTCTCTGCTTGACTTATTTCACTTAGCATAATCTCCTCCAGGCCCATCCATGTTGAGGTAAAAGTTGGGTATTCATCCTTTCTGATGGCTGAGTAATATTCCATTGTATATATGGACCACATCTTCTTTATCCATTCATCTGTTGAAGGGCATCTCGGCTCTTTCCACAGTTTGGCCATTGCGGACATTGCTGCTATGAACATTGGGGTGCATATGGCCCTTCTTTTCACTACATCTGTGTCTTTGGGGTAAATACCCAGTAGTGCAATTGCTGGGTCATAGGGTAGCTCTATTTTTAATTTTTTGAGGCACCTCCACACTGTTTTCCAAAGTGGCTGTACCAACTTGCATTCCCACCAACGGTGTAAGAGGGTTCTCCTTTCTCCACAACCTCTCTCTTTGTTGTTTCTTGCCTTGTCAATTTTTGCCATTCTGTCTGGTATAAGGTGGTATCTCAATGTGGTTTTGATTTGAATTTCCCTGATGGCTAATGAACATTTTTTCATGTGTCTGTTGGCCATTTGTATGTCTTCTTTGGAGAAGTGTCTGTTCATGTCTTCTGCCCATTTTTTGACTTTGTTATTTGTTTTTTGGGTGTCGAGTTTGAGAAGTTCTTTATAGATCTTGGATACCAGCACTTTATCTGTACTGTCATTTGCAAATATCTTCTCCCATTCTGTAGGTTGCCTTTTTGTTTTGTTGACTGTTTCCTTTGCTGTGCAGGAGCTTTTTATCTTGATGAAGTCCCAGTAAATTCACACTTTTTTTCTGATGTTTTCAACAGTATCTAATATGGTGCCTTGTACATACAGTAACAGTTGATGGGTGAATAAATGAACTGGTGGAAGGACAAGCAAAGTTGAGGAGAGGAGATGAACAAACAGAAATACTCTGTAATAACATTGCTGTAAGAACCATCTACCCATTTCATGGATTGGATGGCTAAGTTTGAGAGAAATTAATAGAATATCTTTGATATATTTAAAATTACAGTACAAATAATGATGCTTTTCATATCCATCCTTTTTTTTTTAAAAGATTTTATTTATTTGAGAGAGAGAGAGAGAGAGTGAGAACACGAGCTGGGTGAGGGACAGAGGGAAAAGCAGACTCCCCGCTGAGCAGGGAGCCT